ATCATTCCCGAAAGGGTAATTCAACAGTACCAGGAATTCTGTCGGGAGTCAGCCTTTACGCCCTTGAGTCGCAGTACTTTGCTTCGTATCCTTATGGTCTGTCCTGCTTCTTAAGAACTTCGCTTTAGGGTTTGGACTACATAAGTTCGACAGGTGCAAAGGCATTTGACGATCTAGAAAACGTTACAGAAATACTAAGAGACATCGGTTTAGGAATGGCTTGGGCAAAACAGCAACAAGATCGCCTTAAAGCAGGAAAACGCTACCTGAAAACTGACTATAACGTAACCGCTATAACGTCACATTACGGTACAAAGACCGCTTAGGCCGATTAGGGAGTCTCTTCGCGGTCAAAGCAGATGTTTTAAAATAGCGCAATTCACGCGGATTCACGTACTTAGAGTAACCTAACACACAATACTGAAACTCTAATATAGCGGACCTTCGCTGTCCAGTACAAATAAAATCAACAACAGAGAATCAAAGCTAGAGCATTAAAGATAAACCAAACATCCCCTTGGTTAGTTTTATTTAAAGACTAATATAAATTAATTCAGTGATGGATATTTTTAAATATAAATTGCAGGTGCACATATCTGAGAGTTCGACGGTGGCTGATCACTGTAGGCGGTATGCCTTGAGTGACCCTGATGATTCAGATTATCAGTCAGAGTGTAATCACCAGCACGATAGCTCATGTGATCGGTGTACTATGCGAACCAACACCGTCATGTGCATAGAGGAAGTTTCAAAAGAGCAGTCGGGAAATCTCTCTGAAGATAGAAAGGAAGAGCTGACTTTCCGTGTGCGACAGGCCAAAACAAACATTGGAGCATGGAAATCACATCTTCTGCGCTATGTTAACCAAGATGAGGCTAGAGTAGACATCTTAGAAGTCCTCGATGAGACGTCCGTTTTTCTAACCCAAGACTGGGCCATGAAATTCATTCCAAGAAAGTTTAGAGAGAGTCAGAAAGACTGGTTTGCCAAACGTGGCATGTCTTGGCACATCACAGTAGCGGCTAAACGAGGCAAAGATGTTCGATTAGAAATGTTAACATTTGTTTACATCTTTGAGTCATGTGGTCAGGAATACGTCGTCATTCTGGCTATAATGTCAGATGTCATTGAAAGGCTTAAAGTCATCATGCCCAAACTACGCTCAGTTTTTTACCGTCAGGACAACGCTGGACGCTATCGCAACGGTCCGAACATTTTTTATGCAAAGTTATTAGGCCATTGTCATGGTGTTGCAATCAAGCGCATGGACTTCTCAGATCCACAGGGAGGAAAGGGAGCCTGTGATAGAAAGGCTGCTACCTTCAAGTCCCATATGAGAATCCACCTCAATGAAGGCAATGATATCATTTCTCCTGAGCACATGAAAAAAGCAATCTTATCGTCAGGCGGAGTTCCTGCTGTGGCGTCATCCTCTCTGGATCCCCCGTCATCCCAGATATGCCAACATTGAAATTGGACGATGTCAGTSAAGTATCTAATGTAGAGTATTGTGAAGATGGGATTCGTATCTGGAAGGCATACAAAATTGGACCAGGTAAACTTCTATCATCCAAAGATCTACAACTACCTACCGAGTCACAGATAGCATCCCTGACGTTAATTGAAACCAGCGATAGTCAATTTACACAGATCAAATCTAAAACTCCCAAATCCGTTGAATCAGTAATAACGACCACAGAGAAAATACTCAGTGCAACCAAGAAAACACCGGCCAACCAAGAAAACCCCGGCCAACCAAGAAAACCTCGGCCAAACCCAAGAAAACCCAGGCCAACTAAGAGAACATTTTATCTTTTGCCATGTAATTCATGTAAGCAAGATCTTCAAATTAAAAATTAGCCTCAGGTATCAGCAAGGTCGCTAAAATCCTTTCAAAACCTTTGTTACATTTTCGTTCAATATAGTTGTCAAGCCAACACTGAACTTCGGAGTCAATTTGTTATTCGCTTCAGCATTATTCACTCGCTTGTTTTGACCGCTGTGGAAATTTCCCCAAACTCATTTTGATGGAACTTTTAAGATCCATATTAACTTGCTTAGAATCCGAAGTTT